GTAAAAGTCTACCCGGTCGGGCGCAAAATTATTTTTTTTTGTTTTTCTCTCGCCTCGCCCGGGTGGTTGCCCGGGTGTTTAGTTTTTAGAAGTAACCCGACCGGGTTAGGGTTTATACCCGGCCGGGTCCAATCCCAGTTCATTTTTTTTTTGTTTTTTTTTAACACACACTACTGAAAAAATTTAAAAATAAAAAAGAAGAAATTGGGTTGCCTCCTAAGAAGTGCTTGATTTAATGTCGCGGCACGACGTTATATATATATATATATATATATATATATATATATATATATATATATATATATATATATATATTCTTTTATGTGGGATCGTGAACGTCCCTTGTTTCATTTTTCTTTTTCGGCCTTCTCCAGTAAGGCCGGGATTTCTTCTCTGGTATCACTTCAATCCCAGGTGGGATCCATTCTCCTTTTGAAAATTTGAAAAATTCTTCTTTTTCAAAAAGTTTGATTTTCTCATATTTTTTCTCAACAAAAATATTCGGGGTTTGTGGTTCACAAACTTTTAGAGAACAAAGAGATTGGTCCTCAATCTGTTTTTTCGTAGAATCAAAAATGTTGAATTCTACCTTTTGATCATCAAACTCTAAAGTTACTGAACCATTAGACACGTCTATTTTTGTTTTTGCAGTTTTTAGAAAAGGCCTACCCAAGAGGATGAGTGTAGTTTGGTTATCATCTCCCATTTCCAGAACATAAAAATCAACAGGGAAAATCAAATTTTCTACTTCTACTAGCACATCTTCTACTACACCCTTCGGGTAAGTATTAGACCGATCTGCTAGTTGAATCACTACACCAGTTTGATGTAGTGGGCCGAGTTGTAAGGATTTATATAAGGAATAAGGAATGACATTTATTGACGCTCCTAAATCCAACAAGGCCTTAGAAAATAAGGTATCCCCTATTTTGCAAGGAATAGTGAACATGTCTGGATCGCTACATTTCTCGGGAAGTTTCTTTTTAAAAATGGCCGAGACACGTTCACTCACTTCAACTTTTTGTTTCCCTTCCAGTTTATTTTTCTTTTTCATTGTGCATAGTTCCTTTAAGAACTTTGCATAACGGGGAACACTGTTGATCAGTTTGAAGAGTGGGATGTTTACCTCAGAATTGACGAATGTTTCGTAGATGTCCCGATCATTCTTCAGCTTCCTCGTGTCTTTCAATGCCTCAGGGAATGGAGGGAGTGGTTCATATGATGACAGTGGAGGAAATTCAGTCTTCGTTGGCTTCTCTTCTTCTTGTTGAAAGCCTTCTAGAAGATCAACCTCTTGCTTCTCCTCCTCAACTTCCCGTGGTTGCAATTCTTTACCGTTCCTCAACATGATTGCATTGACATGTTGTCTTGGGTTTTGCTCAGTTTGGGAGGGGAGCCTACCCGAATCTTTTGCTTCAAGTCGACTTACGGCATTTGAAATTTGGCTAACTTGAGTTTCCAAATTTTGAATGCTCGACTTGGTTTCATGTTGGAATTGCATCATGGTTTGTTGGAATTGCCCCATGCTTTGCTGCATTGTTCCCATATTAACGGCCAGCGCTCGAATCATGTCTTCGGTGGACATACTCGAGTTCGATGTTTGGCCTTGTGGTTTGTATTGTTGAGGAGGAGGATTTGTTTGAGAATTTCCGTACCTTAAATTCGGATGATCCCTCCATCCCGGGTTGTAAGTATTTCCTTGAGGATCGTACCTCCTTTGACCTTGGAACCCCAAAGCATTGACTTGCTCGGAGTTCTCTTCTTGTAGTGTCGGGCAAGAATCTGTAAGATGCCCTTGCGTTGAACAGATGCCGCAGACCTTGACTTCTTGGGTTTTTGGATTTAAAAGTAAATCTTTAACCAAAGAAGTCAAGCCGGCTACTTGACTCTCCAACGAGTTGTTGGATTCCGCTGCCATGACTCGTTTCGATGATGACCTTCCGTTGTAATGTCTCGAGTTTTCGGCCAACTCCGAAATGAGGTCTCTTGCTTGAGAAGAAGTTTTGTTAACAATACCCCCTCCGCATGCCGCATTCACCATGCATCTATCTTGATCAACAAGTCCATCATAGAAGTAGAGGATGAGATCTTGTTCCGAATACCCATGATATGGGCAACTAGCACATAATTTTTTAAAGCGCTCCCAATATTCATTCAAGGTCTCATTATCTGCTTGCTCAATGTTGCTGATTTGCTTCTTGAGACTTGAAGAGATAGATGCGGGATAGTACCTGTCAAGGAAGCTCTTTTTCATTTGAGCCCATGTATTGATGCTCCCCGAGGGAAGATAGAATAGCCAATCTTTGGCAGTGTCTTTGAGGGAGAATGGGAAGGCTCTCAGTTTGATTTGTTCCTCGGACACGCCATTGGGGCACATGCTTGTGCACACAATATGGAACTCCGACAAGTGTTTATTTGGATCTTCCCCTCGTAGGCAATGGAAAGAGGGAAGTAGATGAATGAGCCCAGATTTTAGCTCGAATGTGACCCCCGTATCAAGAGTTGGAAAAGTGATACATAAGGGTTGTTGATTTAGATTCGGAGCCGTGAGCTCCCTCAACGTTCTTGTTTCAAGAGCCATGTGGAAGGACTCTTCGGATTCGCTAGAATGAGAACTAGCACTTGATGATTCCTCCGAAGAAGTATTCGGAAATAGATTCCTGAACCTCTCGAAGGGTTGTTCTGTTTCGGGTTTTGTTTGGTAGGTGATTTGGTTTATAGATCGGTGTTTAACCATATACTCAAACAAAGCTCAGCCAAAATAGAAATCTTTTAAATGTTTTTTTTTTGAATTTTCTTGAAATAAAATAAAAAGAAAAATAATTGTCTTTCCCCGGCAACGGCGCCAAATTTGACGAGCACTTTGTCACGGTGCGTCAAAATAATTTCAATACTAACACTGTTGGGCCGCGGGTATGCGGTGCCAGCAACAGCCAGCCTGCCGGTGCAATCGGACCGTGTGGCGCTTCGCTTGTGCTATAAAGAGGGAGGAGCGTGCTTCACTATCAGCGATTGCTTTTAGTGTAGCGGTAAGCGCAACGATCCACAAGTGGTATCAGAGCCAAGGTCACGGGTTCGACCCCCGGCAACAGCATGCTGCGCAGTTGTAGGCTGGCAGGTGCTGGGGGGAGATTGTTGGGCCGCGGGTATGCGGTGCCAGCAACAGCCAGCCTGCCGGTGCAATCGGACCGCGTGGCGCTTCGCTTGTGCTATAAAGGGGGAGGAGCGTGCTTCACTATCAGCGATTGCTTTTAGTGTAGCGGTAAGCGCAACGATCCACAAACACTTATACGTAGTATAGCGTAGTAGAGTTCGTATCCACAGGGAAAGGAATAATTCTCTTTTTATGATACTTAGTAGATAAAAAGGGGGGATTTGGATTGAGTGATTTAATTTAATTAAGAACTAAGATGAACAACTTATATGTGTTTAATTCAAAGATAAAAAGGACTTGGCATTGCTACTTTCCACTTGTTGATATATTTTAGTCGATCATTGTCATATCTATAACTTATTCCCTCTCGAATACTCAATCAGGGAGTATATCCACTTCATCGAGGGTAGTTATTAACAACGACCGTTCATTAATAACCCTTACTATTAATCAAATATAGAACAACGCCTTATACCGATTTAATAGTAGCATTTAATCTTTCTATCTCCTTGATGAAATCAATTGAGATTGATAACCTCAACACAAGCGGTTTCGGTTTAACCAACAAAATTAATCCCTCTTAAGTTTATTAACCACGGCCGTGCATTAATAAACCGAAGTTACTTACTTGTGAAACCATCAACGATTAACCATCGGTTCGTTGATCGTTTCTAGTAATAACTAATATATGAAACAAAACTAGTTGATCCTTTAAGTAATGTTCAAAATATTAATATGAAATATGAGTAGGGATTAATTAATATTCAAGGAAGAATATTATTAAAGAAGATGAATCCTACTATAATTAATATCAAGATGTTAACTAATTGTCATCTTAGAAACACTCCCCAATATTAATATAGAGGAAGAAAATATCATTCTAACTAATGTCGAGATGTTAACTAATTGTCATCTTAGCAACACTCCTCAACATCAATATAGAGATGGTATTAAGGAAAGAACTATTAATTAATATTCAAGGAAAGAAGTTAAAAAAATAACTCACAACTTTAATAATCAACAAGCTTCAAGAGCAACACCAAGAATGGAAGTTTAGCTCCTCATTTGGAGACTAAACATAGCTAGAAAAATATAAAGAAATGATATTCTAAACTGAGCTAAAGAGTATGGAAGAATGGATTCTTTTTAGAGGAGAAAAGGAGTGCTATTTATAGGTGTTTTTCAACACCTTTGGCCGGGTACCCGACCGGGTATACGTACATACCCGACCGGGTACCGGTCAACATCATATAATCTTCCATGTTTTTGTGTTCCAGCACGTTAAATTGTCCCGGGTCAAGTCAGACCCGACCGGGTCAAGTAAGGGACCCGACCGGGTTTGGTCTAAATCAGATTTTTCCAAATCTTTGTGATCTTCAGCATGTTCTGGTGTTCCGGGTCATATCTGACCCGACCGGGCCGAGTACGGGACCCGACCGGATCTTACTTTTTCTTCTTAGATCCGGTCTTCAACTGAACCGACCGGGTTCAAGGTCTGACCCGGTCGGGTTTTTGTGCTCCTGGGTATTTTTGTCTTCAGTTTTTCTCCCCTTTTCCTTGCTACAAACCATATCACTATTCTATAACTACGAAAAGAAAGAGAAAGCAATTACAAACAAAATAAAACAAGTACTTACAAACTAACTAAAAGCGATGGAAAGTCCACACCCAATCAACATAAAAACATACATTTATGCACTATAAACTAGTGCATATCAACTACATGCGTAAATTAAGTCACACTTTGGGAAGATAATTACTTCGTCATATTTTAGAATTTTGATAATGTTTTATACCGATCTGTTTGATCAATTTCTTTAACTAATAATGCTTCGTGCATACATGCAGAAGCAAACATATTGTTCTTGGACTCTCCAATCGGTGTAGGCTTCTCATATACAAATACAAGTACTGACTATGTGAAGTTAGGAGATAAACTTGCTAGTATGTATTTCTTTCCTGCAATATACTGCATATGTAATTATACTGGATGGTACTAATCATTTATTAATAATCTTTTCTGGGGAAACTAATTAAAGAGTTTATCTAATCCTTGTATATACACGTTTCTATGACTATGTTAATATACATACATGTATAGCAAACGATGCGTACACGTTCCTAAACAATTGGTTCAAGAAGTTCCCAACTTACAGAAACCAATCCTTCTATATAGCTGGGGAGAGTTATGCAGGTACATAATTATTTAATTTAATTCAATTATTTAGTGTAATACTTGTACCTGATAAATATCAAATATGATATGATTTCATGATGTTTTGAGCTGACCATCACAGGGAAATATATACCTGAGCTGGCTGACCTCATTGTTGGCAAAAATAAAGACCCTTCTAATACTCTTCCCATTCATCTCAAAGGAATAATGGTATTAATATTCACTCTCTCTAGCCTAAGTTATACTCCCTCCGTCCCATTTTACTTAATCAAACTTGACTTTTCAAGTCAATGACATCTAACTTTGACAGATTATATGTTTATATATAGAAAATATTAATAATATGAAAATTATATGAACATGTTCTTTGTTAAAAATACTAGCTACTACCTCCGTTCCCATTTTAACTTCCAAATGGGTTTGGCACAAAGTTTAAGATAGTGGATATTGTGTGGTGGAGAGTTGTGCATATGAGAGGGAAATGTGTAAGAAATGTTGTGAACCACAAATTCTTTACCAAAAAGGGAAAGTGGAAGTTTTAATTGGAACAGACGAAAAAGGAAAATTGGAAATTTATTTAGGAACGGAGGGAGTATCATAAAAGTATAAAATTATTAAATTTTGCATAAATATATTGGTTTAAATAATCGGTCAAAGTTTACCACCATTGACTGGAAAAGTCAAAGTTAACTACTACCTCCGTTCCTATTAAAACTTCCAAATAGGTTTGGCACATAGTTTAAGATAGTGGATATTGTGTGGTGGATAGTTGTGCAGAGGAGAGAGAAATGTGTAAGAAATGTTGTGAACCATAAATTCTTTACTAAAAAGGGAAAGTGCAAGTTTTAATTGGAACAGATGAAAAAGAAAAGTTGAAAGTTTATTTAGGAACGGAGGGAGTAACTAAATTGGGGCGGAGAGAGTACAAAACTTTCTTTTAGGCCTTTTCAAAATTATGTCGGACTCTTTTAAGATGATCAATATACTGTTCATCATATAATCCATGAAACTCGATTTTACCTTCAATAATCATGCCAGAGATGTTGGGATTGACCAATACAAAGAATTTCTTTGGATAAGTTTTTATAGGAATATTTATACACTAACGTTAAGAGCTTTTTCTAAATTTGGGGTTTGTCTAGGCCTAACATGGCCCTCTACTCTACCCCTCAGAGTAAATATATACCCACCGAGTGGCACATACTTTTAATTTAAACAAAATATTGCATAAGATAGCTAGGAGAAAAGCATGGACAAAGTTTTTAAATAGACCAACGAAGAGTCCTGTACAACATAATCCTATTTGAGAAATAATACGGGAAGAAAACAATATAATCCTATTTGAGAAATTATTTTACATTTTCTTCACATTTAGAGAATTGTCATATAACTTATAACTCGTGGTTAGTTAATCTATCAAATTAATTTTGTACTAAATAACATGTCATAGCATGCATACATGCAGATGGGAAACCCTGAAACATCAAATTTAGAGGACTGGAGGGGTATAGTGGATTATGTTTGGAGCCATGCTATAATCTCAGATGAAACCTACAAAATACTGAAAGATAATTGTGATTATAATAGCTCTGATTTGTGGAGCAATAAGACCTGTGGTGATGCTTTAGATGAAATGTATAAGCAGTACAATGAGATAGATATGTACAGCATCTATACACCCAAATGCTTAAAGAGTGTCAATTCATCGTCCCAAGTCACTTTCACCACTTCATCATCATCGCCCAAGAAGGTACGATATACTTACATCCATATGTATTTAATACACCCTCTCCTCTGTCACATTTTAATTGTCTTACTTTTCTTACGAAATGAATATCGAGCCCGTTTGGTATTATAAATTATATTTTGGAAAAAGATTGCTAATTAAACTCTTTTCATTTTAAATATTTAAAATCTATTTTTTTTTATTTTTTTACTAAAAAGGAATGAACTATATGAATAGTCAAACATGTTCATCGACAGAAGTCAATATTGAACCGTTGCAACTAAAAAAGAACAAATGAAATATATTACTATTGAAAATGAATTTTCCAGGTGCCAACACGACGATATGGGGGCAGATTTGACCCATGTCTAGATGATTACACCACTTCTTATTACAATAGAGGAGACGTTCAGAAGGCCCTCCATGCAAGTGATGGTCTACATGTTAAGAAGTGGAGTATCTGCAAGTACGTAATAATTTAATACACATGCATATGCAAAGCCCGTGACATCCGTGACAAAAATCCGTGATAAACGGTTTTTGCGTAGTGCATGCATATTATTATCTACAGTATACCATCTGCACTAATTACAAATTTACAACATGCATGCATAGTCACTCGATCATCCAAACTTGGGATTGGGAACAATCACAAGAATCTGTTCTACCCATATATCGAAACCTCATGGCAGCAGGAATTAAAATATGGGTGTACAGGTAAATAAATACATTTATGACGTACTACGTACTATATATATATGCATAACATTTCTTTTACAAATGTATAGCTGATAAATAAAAATGTTTGTCCGAATTAATTAAGAGTTCTAATATGTTATGCGTAGTGATACATATAGTCTTTGAGTAGTAGCGTGTTCAGGTGATTTTATTTGAAGGGTGAGTTTTAGTAATACGTAGTACTCCTAATTTCTTGGTTGGTAAAATTTCCCATTTGGAGAAAAAATATTAATGGGCCTATTTTGTCAAATTATGTCATTTATAAAAGAAATTTGGGTGAATTATGTAACTATAACTAATTTAAGTTGCAAATGAAAATATGTACAAAGACGAGATCAATTTATATTATGTATTTGCAAGAATATTTGTAATTATATAATGCTTTGTAGGAGCGATTTTTTTTAACAATTCAAAGATATTAGGAGGGATTCCAATCATCTATCATCTATTATATTCGGGAAAAACATGTGAAAAATTCCACTACACTATCACACATTATAATAACACTAGTTTCATAATATATTAATACAACCCCGTAAACACGCTTATATATATATAAGATGATGAACCGGTTGAGTCACACAAAATGAGTGAATTGTGGGAATTTAATTATGAATGACAAGGGAAAGGTAGAATAGGAAGAGTTAGTCCTATTTTGGGAATTTTAACTTTAAGCTCCTATGTTGCAATTTTTCTTTTATTTAGTTCTATTTAGGGAAATCTCCATTTTTTTAAAATAAAAAAACTAATGTTAGTAATTAGCACACAATATATAATAAACTAATAAATTTTCATCTTAACATTAAAAATAGGAAAATAAAACATTAATACCTAAAATATTTTATAATAAACAAATTAAAAATAAAAAATCTAAAAAAAACTTAAAAAAACCTAAAGTTAAAAAAAATGTTGTATACCTAAAATATTTTTTTTAAATATTTTATAAATCTTCAAACCTACTTTGCACTTGACAAAGTCCATCGCTTACATTTTCAAACAATAGTTAGGTTACTCATTTCTGTTATTCTTCTTTTCCCGCAACCATGCATATCATCGATCTGCCAATCGTTGCTTCTACTTGCTTTTCTCCTTCTTTCTTTTTCTTTTTTCTTTAACAACCATTTTACTTTACTTAATACGAAGTATAAGAAAATGTATAATATAAAATGTTATTTTATAAAATAACATAAAAAAAAGGAGTTAAGATGAAAATTTATTAGTTTATTATATATTGTGTGCTAATTACTAACATGAGTTTTTTTATTTTAAAAGAAAGGAGATTTCCCTAAATAGGACTACTAAATAAAAGAAATTTTGCAACAATAGGAGCTTAAAGTTAAAATTCCCAAAATAGGACTAACTCCTCCTATTCTACCCTTTCCCTTGTCATTCATAATAGGATTTTTAAAATAATAATAATAAAACATAAAAAATTTAAAATAAAAAAAACGTAATGTAAAAATAAAATAGAAAACATACATGCCTCAAGAACTATCTCAAAAAAAAATGTAAAAAATAAATGAAAAATACATAGTTTAAATACACCAATTGTTACATTTACTGCGTGGTTAAAGTGAAAATGTATGTGTGCCCTAATATAATGTTTTTTTTGACTAATTCAGTGGAGATACTGATGGAAGACTCCCTGTATTATCTACAAGATACAGCATAGGTGTATTGCGTCTTCCCATTACCAAACCATGGACACCTTGGTACTATGAAAAACAGGTATGTAATATAAATAGGGTTCTTCTCATTAATAAAGTTTGAACTATTCATGAAAACAGTTCCCATATTATATGCGTATGGGTACGTTATTCTTCATAAATTTTTATGCATTCCAACCTTATTTATTTTGATTATTATACAATCCAACGAACGAAATCATAAGTAATGTGTTTGGTGAAACAATCAAGTGATGAAACCGATAATCTTAATAACATATGGTCACCAAACAAGTAATAAATGCCCTTAGTCTTTAGATAGGATCTACAGCTATGATTTAGGGGGGCTGGATCTACTTCTTAAAACTGCTTCTGTTCTTTCAGGGATCAGAATCAGATATTGGAGTGTGGTTAAAAGTGAAAAAGTACTTCTGAGGACTCCAAAATGCTCCTAGAAGCAGTTTTTTAGAAGTTGGGGAGACCAACTTTTGAAAACTGATTCTGATTCTACTTCTACATTTAAAAATGAAGGAAAAGCAGAATCAATTCAAAACACCTCTTTTAAAAAATGGGTATGTTGCATTTACAAGATGGGCGGGCTTAGCCAAATGACTTTTTGTCAACTCATGGCTTGATTTCTGCCAAGTTTTCCCTAAAAAAATAGGATTCATTTAAATTCAATTTTTGGCCTTTGGAGAGTTATAATTAGTAGTCAAGATTACATTCTAGCAAAAAAAAGGTTGAATCCTGAGCATTACTTAATATTTGATGACAGGCAAACAAAATCAACAGCCTCATCAAAAGATTATTTTGATTAATTAAAAATAATGGTTCTATATGACTAAACTAAAGATGGTGGTTAAATGTGTGAAATTTTATATGCAATAATTATATTAGTTACTTTTAGTAACTATGAACATGATTGAGTTTATCCTACATATATACTGACTATATTGTTATAACAATGATATATATCTTTAGTAAGTGTTTGTTGAAAAGTTTTTCCAAGTATAACTTTTAGGAATAATTTCCCATCAATTAATTATAAAAGGCTAAATTTGAATTGTTGGATTCAGGTAAGTGGATGGGTTCAAGAGTATAAGGGGCTGACATTTGTGACGTTTAGAGGAGCTGGACATGATGTGCCTACTTTTAAACCCGCAGAGTCCCTCATCTTACTCTCCTCTTTCATTTCTGGACGTCCTCTTCCGCTCCAGCGTTATTAATTAAGTGTACTCGCCTAATCCCTTGCCTTGACTGAAATATTATACTTACCAATTTACCATAGTCAGATTTGAGTGGATCGGTAACCAAATTGAGAGTGGAAGAGTGATTATATTAAGCATATCAGAGAAAATGGCTAGAAATAAAAGAGGGGTCAATGTGCTTAGCTATGAATTTCTTTTTCTATAATAAAACATCTTTTAATCTTACATATTCAACTCTTACATTATTTACATGCTTATATCATTCTTCTTGGTGCTATCTACCTATAGCGTTATAAGATGCTAAATGGTAAGAAACTATATGTAACAATTAATTTGATGTGTCATAATAAGACGCACTGATTTGTATTCAGTGCATGTCGATACATTTTTCGACCTTGAATCACATAAACAACGACTCCTTGTATTCAGTCCGGTACTTTTACTGCTTATTCATTACTACTCCGATACTTGTACACTTACAAGTTCGATCCGATCAGACGTCCAATGTAAATGAAAGACTAAATTCCCTGAATAAGACTAAAACATGAATAAAGTTCATCAATAATACTAATTACGTTTTGTTCCTAGAAAAGGATGCTTGGGTTTTGTTATGATCTGGGAATCCATCCCAAAAGCTCAACCTGATAGGAGGAGGAGTATTACAGATCTTAATATAGCACTAATTAATTCCTTCACAAGTTTTCGGTGTGGGATTTTAACACCCCTCCTCACGACCAAATACTTTGTCTGGATCGTGCCGTCGTTCATGTTTTTTCCATCAATTCGTTATTGTTATTTTTTTTATAATCGTGTCATCATTTTTCATAAGGCGGCCCACACCATGGATTGATTTGGCTCTCATACCATGTTAAGATCGGGGTTTCATCATAAAAGATCAACCTGATAGGAGAAGTCTTACAGATCTTAATATATCACTTAATTCCTTCACAAGTTTTTGATCTCTAGTATTTATGTTGCCGGTTCCGGTCCGGTTTTCATGTTGAAGGAATTATAGTCATGTTGCCGGTTTCACTATACCATCAAATTGTATGTATGATTCTCTATATTCTCATGTTTGCGCTCCTATTGGTGAAAATTATATTGGAAAGAATATTAAGATCGCATATGTTTTTGTTGCATGCCCACCTGCCGTGAGTGTATGTGATGACGATAGTCTACTCTTTTATCTACAAACCTCAGGTTGGTTTGTGTGAGTGAGAGCATTGTTGTAAAGCTGAGAGGCTCTCTACCCAAAGAGAATATTATCTTGTAACCACAAAGAGTGAAGTTGTTAAAAGAGAAAATTATCTCTTCTATGACTAAAAGAGTATCTCTTTCCTGATATATGACTACATAAAGTTTTATTCCTAGAATGTTATCGGCACATACTCATGATCATACATGTGTTGTTTTTCTTAATTTTAATCCCAGGAATGCCCTCTTTTCATTTAATTAATGAGCTGTAATTTCCTCCTAAAATTAAGGACCGGCCAAGTACATGACATGGCTTAATACGCGATAACCGTTTAGAGTTAGTAACCGGTGTGTATTTTAATGAAATTCTCCTAAAAAGAAGGAATGGACAAACAAAAGGTGTTACTTCCATTATTTTGAATCTCAAAAACCAATTACAACTACTAGAAAAATGTCTTACAGTGACACCAAATTAGTGTCACTAACAGGCTTTTGTGACACTAAAAAAGTGCCGCTGAAAGTGGAGGCTGATGACTCTAAAAAAGTGTCACTAAAAGTGTCACTAAATTATGACACTGTAGTATCACCAAATCATGACACTATGGTATCACATCGTGTTATGACACTGTAGTATCATAAAGTTTTGTGACACTCTAGTATCATGAAAACATACACATAATACATCAATTTTAATATATATATATATATATATATATATATATATATATATATATATATAATTTAATACTAATAAGTAACTGAAATTTGAAACACTTTTATTTATATATCAAATTCTCACATAAATGTGAATGTACATACTACAGAATTCATAGGGGCATACCCCGAAACAATAATAAGTAATAAAAAAATAATAATAAGCTAACTAGTCTAACTAGAAAGCCTCAAGAGACGACTTTGCAATTAGCCACAAGAGGCCAGGATCGTCTCTTTTCAGGAACAAGCAATCCTCTCTTCTTCCCATTTCATCCGTCAAAACATCTTCTTTGAATCCAATCAACACTAGGATGTCTGACGTGCACTTGTCGTGAGGTGCACTCAAAATAATTAATCAATACAACACTAATACGTAGTATAGTGTAGTAAGGTTCGTATCCACATGAAAAGGAATACTTTTCTCTTATATAAATAGTAACAACCTATATGAGTTTAAGTTTGATTTGATTGAATTTAATTAATACTAAGATGAACAACCTATATGAGTTTGATTAATAGAGATGAGGACTTGGTTTTGCTTTTATCCACTTAATGAAATGTTCGTCGATCCCGGTTATATCTTTAACTATCTTCCTCTCGAATACTCAATCGAGGAGTATATCCAGTTCATCGAGGGTAGTTATTAATAACGAGACGCGTTCATTAATAAAACTTACTACCGAGTTAATATAGATCAAGCGTCGTATATTGGCCCGATAATAGCAATAAACTTAAGATGAAAATGATTGAGATTGATAACCTCAACACAAGCGGTTTATTGGTTTAATCAATATAATTAATTCCCCTTAGATTATTAACCATGAGACGCATGCATTAATAATCCAAGTTTTACTACCGTTGAAAGAACCGAATTAATAACAAGCGTATTAATCGATTGATTCTAGTAATAATTAATATATGAAACAAAACTAGTTGATCCTTTAAGTAATGCTCAAAATATTAATATGGAATATGAATAGGAAATAATTAATATTCAAGGAAGAAGATTAAAGAAGATAACTCACAACTTACAAATTCATTAAGCTTCAAAGTAGCAAAACCAAGATGGAAAGACTACCTAAATTACAAGAATAAAGTGTATATGAAAGAGGGGATTAAATTGGTCTCTAAAATAGGAAGGAAAGAGGTGTTTTTATAGGAGAAGTAAGATGGTTGGGTCTAAGACATAATCTGATTTTCCCATGTTCACTTGTTTTATTTGATCTCTTATGATCTCTGGGTCGAATCATATCCGATTTTTCACACATCTTTGTCCTCCATGAAGCTTCCTCTTGTCTCCAATGCTCCTTCCTTATGCTCCCAAGCTCCTTCCTCTTCTTTTCATCATGTTTTTGCTTACATGTCAAAATATCTTAATATCTTCTAATTCTTCTTTAATTTTAGAAGATAAAGATTACACCGTAATTGTACAAAAGCTAAGTAAACATAATGTAAAATCATTCTAAAATGTGGTATTTATATACTTCTAAATAGTACGCATCAATGTCCATTGCAGCTGCAGCAACGGTACAACAACAAAAATACATAACAAAAAGGCCTTCATTTAGTGCACAAATAAGAATCGAGGTAAAAGAAAATAAAAAACGAAAATGAAAGGAATGTGTAGAAAGCCGTTTATTCAACGAACCTTTGTAATTTAACATATCTCTCTTAATTATAGGATTAGCCTTCACCAGCAGCATATCATTCATTAATGTAAGAAGACTAGAGGATAATAAGTATTTCTGATGCAATAAAAAGCACAAGGCAACTGGTGTTGAGGTGTATACAATGGCAGGGTAGTTTTATTAATGATCATAGCATGTTCCACTGTTGAGGTATAGAGAAGGAAGAAGATCGACGAGAAGTTCTACCTGAGTTGACAGATTCCCAAAAGAAGACAATGGCAGGGCAGTTTCAGCATTTCCATTTGCCACATGTCCAGAGTTTGCAGGACAAACCCCATTGCCGGTACTTTCATTTTATCCGTTTCCCTTTTCCAGCCCATGTTGTGAAGTATCTTTTGCAGTTTCCTTTGAGGCTTGGGAACAATTTGTGGAAGTGCCATTTCTTTCTTTTGCCTCTGATAGTTCTATTTGGAGCTGCTGCAAACGCAAGTGCATATGTTCCATCCTGCCAAACTAAAAAAATCTAATTAATCGCCTACTGAGCTTTACTACTATAGTACTATACTAAATGAAAATTAAAAGACAAATGCGGCCTCTATGCCTGCAAAAGCAACTATTTGAAAAGGTTAATAACCTGTCTCTGAGAATCAAGACAAAGCTGATTATATTGCAAAAGTACAATTGGTGATAGTTTTACAAAATATAATGATCCAAGTGGACAATTTAGAAAGCATGAACTTTACGGTACCAAGTGGGCAACGTTTCCTTTTTGTCTTGCTGCAGAAAAATGCCCCTGAAAGTATATCCTTACCTTTCTCATCTGATTCCACTAAAAACAAAAACCTAAACATTTTTTCAACCACTCCATATTATGTATAGCAGACCAGGGAAAAAATTGACATAACAAACCTTAATCCTTGTTGGGTTTATAGCTGATTTACAATAATGGCAATATCCATGTCTGCTTTATTTGCTACAACACAACAAAATGATTCAAATATAGAGAAAAAATAATTGGAGGCCGCAAATATATACATTTATATGACAACTTCTCAAGCACCTGTTAAGTCCATTAAAGTTTATTGACAAGCCTGAAGTCTTCATATATTTTCAAAATTCAAGGCAATGAGGTTACCATGAATTAACAGTATACTTACAAAACATATACAGGTGAAAAGAATGAACACAAGTGAACACAAGTGAAAAGAATGACATCTGTAAATCAAAACTTCAAATTAAAAGGCAAATGACTAGATGACGATGTAAGCTTCAATGAAACAGAAAAAGTTAGCATTGGGGTGTCCTCAGAAATAATTTCATCACTGGACGGGATTGGGACAGGTGTAGTAACTGGATCATCGAGCGTTGGATCAGAGAGGATGTCATCATTTCCATTTCGGGCCTCATAATAGGTGACCGGTTGATGAATTTCCTCGATTACCGCCTCGTTAAGGGTGGCCATCAGGGTTTCATCTATAAGCAGTGCATCACTAGGGGCCACACAGGCATACAGTGGTCTGTGACCACCGATTTGGGACCTGAATGACTTTTTTGAACATCTGAAACAGAAAAATGCACTGAAGCAGAATGAGTATTAGCTGGATCAAGTGCCACTTTACTGTGATCAGAAACTGGCATTTCAGCTTCCAGTATAACAACATCATAGGAAACTACACGCTCAGAATCCAAAGCCACAAGAATGTGTGAATCTG